AATGCCTAATGGAAAAGGAGATAAGATAACATTATTAACTTTTCTGCATTAGCCCTCACTTAAGAGTCTAAGGCCCAATATTACTTTATTCCTATAAAAGCTTATACCAATAAAAAACATAAGTGACGTGACCAAGTATAAGGTGGTCCTTAACTATTAAATCCAAAATAAATTTAATATTAATTTTGGGAAAATTATCTTTCAGCCTATCTAATATATTCTAAGGGTGTCAACTTTTAATTTGTGAGCTGCATGAATCTAGTAAGGTAGTAGGAAACCTAGGTGATGATCAAATATTATATGTGCTTACCCTAACTAGGTTTAAGATCTAGCCCTTAAAGTCCTCCTTTACAAAATAAGGAGAGAGATTTAGCAATCCAAACAAACCCAGCTTATAGTGGGGTTGAGATCCTAGGAAGCTAGGAGACCAGGTTATGGACCTCGATCTAGGATATAGTGGATCATATTGGGGTTTCTTCAGATCACTTTGGGTGGCAGTTAATAGGACTTAAATATGGGATGTATTCTCAATATGACCATATGATGTACAACACCAAAGGCAATATCAATACCAGGATGACTAAAATATAGCCATTGTCAGCATGTTGAAGAGCTGGGTTACCATGGACAGAGGAGTATGTTTCCAAGCCCACCCCTCTTCGATGTGTTTCTAGGATGGCCCTAAGCATTGTTAGCTGCTGCCTCAGTAATGAGAGTGCAGGAGGAAGAGGAGGAAGTTGATGAGTAGTGAGAGCCATACTAATGTTGTTTTGTTACTCTTAGTTTAGTTTTTAGTTTTTGCTTTCTTATTATATCTTTATTTCATTTAATTTCCTACATTTTAATTTTCTTGTATCTAGTTGTACTTTCGAATATATAATGAATACAATCAAGTATTTTATCAAGCTCATGAAAAATTTATTTATCTTCCTATATTGCACTTTCTATTTGAATTTTGAAAATTGAAAAAATCAAAGTCAATATCCTTAAGAATATAATATTACACAACTTTAAAATTTCTTTAATAAAATAGTTAAAAATAACAACTTCTCTTTTCATTTAAAATTAGTAATTTCTTATAAGTTAAATTCCTAATCCCTTAAGCACTTAACTGCATATAATGGATCATTTGATTTAAGGGTTAATGTGCATAAATTATTTAGATCAATTTTAAATCATATAATGCGTAAGTAATTAGTGAATTATGAAAACTTTAATGAAATTTAGATAATATAAAAGTTGAGACAATAGATAGGTATTCAAAATTAGTAAAGGTATTTTTGCAAATAAAATAAAAAAAGAAGTGTATAAAAATGGCTAAATATTGAAATATTAAAAATTGGTACCTACAATGTCTACCCTCGCTTAAAAATTTTGGAATCATAATACTTACAAAAAACTTATAGATTGATTAAGGAATTAACTCAATTTATGAATTCATCTAATCCCAAAATCGTTAATCCAAAATAAGTTAGTCAAATTTATCACCTATGCACTTAGGAGATTAATTTAGAAGAAATACTAATTAAAAGGAAAGTGATGACATAAATAATTTGCTAGAAATTTTTTTAACTTATATACTTTATGAATACTTCTATTATTAATTTTATATTTGTTCCAAAAATTGCATTCAAACAAAAGAAATTAATCCCATTACATTATGAATAATTTGAGGACAACAGAATTTGATAAGTAGAATTTTGCAAACTTTAAATTGCATGTATTGTTATAAAAGTCCTAGCTATGTTTATCTTTTTTATGAAGGAAAATTAGAAAAATATGCAAAAATTGGAGCAGTACTACAGCACTATAGAATTAGCACTGTAGCACTACATTATCCCCCAACTCTATAGCGCCACCAGAATAGCATTGTAGCATTCAAAGTCTCATATGAGTGCTAGAGAGCATAGCAGTGAGGCGCTGCCTATAGATTGTCGCAAGGCCAGATTGAGCGTCGCAACACCAAAGCACCTAGTGCCAATCAGGGGGAGAACACATGTCTATGGTAGTGTATAGCATTGTGTATGTGATTTGTGTAATGTTGTACTTTTCATTTTTCTTTGTATTGCTTTTCATGTAGCCCTAGAACCTTATAAATGTGGGGTGATGATGAACAATTTGAGACCTTATGACATTTTTTTTTTACTGATGTTAGGGATACTCTACCAGTTTGAAACCTATAGTCCTTTGAATCATTATGTAACATTTTCTTTATTCTCTTCACCCTCCAATCTCATAGGTCCTAGCTCGTCAGGTTGGCCTGCTAGTAACGTTTCGTACCTTTCATAGACAAATTTTGATCCAATACTATATTTTTATGAAAGTATTTCTCTATGAAAAATTAGGATGCTTTGTAAATCTAGCCATGGGAGAGAGACTTGAACTTTAGATTATTAGTAGTGCAATATATGTCGATATATTTTAGTGAGAATTCAAATTAAATCAATATTATTTTTATTTTGGTCATCCTCAAGTCTTTTTTTTTTTTAAGTCCATAATTGAAAATTGTTTTTATATGAATGGTTATGCTAGTAATTTAATAAAGAGATTATGGTAAAACGGCTTGTAATATATTAATTTAATTTGAAAATAGAATCGAGCAATGCCACTTGGCGACGAACCAAAGCTGGGTGAAATTTTTGAAAATGACTTTAAAAGGGTTTTTTTTTTTTTTTTATGATGATGAGGAACCGTGTGCTGCCACATCTGACTTCGTCGAGCGCGATTGTCGGTCCGTAAACCACGGCCACCCTAATGGGCCACCCAGGCCACAAACCCATAGTTGGCGCTTTGGAGCCCCCACTATAAGGGCCGATTGCCGCTCGAGGGAATCGAATTAAAGGTTAATTTGAAAGCATGGTTTTAGAAATACGTTTTAATGTTTTATAACACTATTACCTGCTATTGCCAGGAAAACCCCTCATGCACACAAGAAAAATTCTTTTTGACAAAAAATGTATTTGGAATTTCTTATGGTAAGAACTGATGGATTATAAATGAGCATTTACAATTGAAAATTGCTTTTTTTAACTTAAATATTTTGCTTCACTTTTTTATGCTAATGCATTTGTGTCATGGAAGTGTCAAAAAGAGTGTAAATTCAAGTTGGTGTGTTTGGTTCGGGTTTAACACTAAGGCTTTATTTGAGATAGTTTTCGTACTACTTTTTAGAATGGCTTTCTAGTACAAAATTTTCAAAAATTCAAGAAGTTTTTGTGCCAAAAAACTGTTTTAGAAAGCAAGAAGAAAGCCATACGACTTTTTAACTGCTTTCTAAAACAGCTTTTTTGGACAAAAAATTCATAAAATAAAAATTTTATATTATAAAGCTGCTTTAAAAAGCATTAAGAAAGCCAACCCAAATGAAGCCTAAGTTGATCCAAATCAATTTATTTTTGTTGCGGACTGGAACATTCATGGCGGTAGAGAGATAAAGAGCTCAATGTCTCAACTTGGAATGAAGATCTAGCACACATAAAGATAAATAAAGAGGGGTGCGAGATTCATACGAGACACCAATATTTTTACATGAAAAACCCTGAAAAAGGACAAAAATCATGTGGCAAGGCCCAGTTAAAATGTTTCCACTAGTTTTTGTAATCGATTACAAATGGTGCCCTTCCGCAGGGAGGAATTATTTGCTCAATATATCATATAGATCACATTACATAGTTGGGGTTAGAAGAATCCAATGATAAGGGAGTCATTCGCAAGAGAATGTTAGCCTATTCATTTGGTTGGCAAGGCTGTATTTGGGCAATGGAAATCAAAGGAGACTATAGTCGGCGGGCGACAGTATTTAGAAGGATCGTAGTCAAATGGAAACTGTGATTGTGGAGAACGTAGTTGATGGGCAACGATGGTTGGAGAGACAGTAGTCGACAAGCGATAAAGGTCGAAGGGAGCATCGTTAGCAGGGTGACGGTGGTTGGAGTGACCATAACTGATGGACTACGTAGGTTGGAGGGATCGTAACATTCGGTTGACGGTGGTCAGAGGGACCATATTCGACGAGCAATAGAGGCCAGAGGGACTGTAGTAGGCGAGTAATATATGTAAGAGGAATAGTAGTCGGCGGTTGATGGTGGTTGGATGAACCGTAATCAACAGGCGACTGTGGTCGGAGGAACCATATTCGGCGAGCGACGAAGGTCGGAGGGATTGTAGTCATTGGTTGACTGTAATTGGAGCTGAGGGAAAATAGTTGATTGGTAATGGAGGTCAGAGGGACCATATTCGGCGGGAAATGGTGGTTGGAGGGACTGAATGTTGTCAGTGGGTGATAGAGGTCAGAGGGACCTTAGTTGGTGGGCGATGGAGGTTGAAGGAATCATAGTCGACGGGCGACAATGATCAGATAAACCATAATTGACGAGTGATGGATGTTGGTGAGAGACGGAGGTCAAGGGACCATAGTCGGTTGGCGATGGTGGTCGAAGGGAACGTATATGATGGACGACGGAGGTCGAAGAGATTGTAGATGGCGGGCGACGGAGGTCGGAGGGATTGAGAGACATAGAAGGTATTAGCTAAGAAAAGAGGGACCTAGAAGGTGAGAGAGAAAGTGGCACTCAACAAAATGGAGAAAATAAAAAGCATGGGTGAAAGAACAAGATGAATCTAGTAGAAGAAAAGACCATGAGCAACTAGCCTCAATAATTCTTTTCTTACTATCATAATCAAACATTATATGAAGCATATAATTATTTATATAGATTACAATCTTAGTACAAATATCATACTCGTATGATAATGATTAAGTGCTTTTAAAACACATTGTAACTTATGTTATATAGTAGATTCATAAACTCTCATGAACTTTAATTTGTGCAATCTTAAATAATGAAATCACATAATATATAATAATAATATTTTCAATTATATATTTTTTTAATATGATAAAAAGCTCATATACATCATAGGTCATAGGGTCCATATTTTATTCTTATAATAACAAACTATTGATAAACAAGAGAGAGATGGATGTGCAAAAGAACCTATCTTCCTAAATTTGAGTCACAATTAATATATAGTTTTAGCATTCCTCTTTAGTAATGTGCCTTAGGAGATATAATTAGCAAGAGTTAACATACCAAAGATTTACATAAAATAATTTTGGTACAAATATATAGTATCAGGCCTCATAACTATAAGATATGCCACAAAAATGGAAAAATAAAAAGGACAAAAAAAAAACCTCCATTGCCATCCAAAGTTGGGTATCTTCTCGCCTTACCAGAAGAAATGGGAGGCATTTCACCTGTAATGATTGAAAAACAGCTCAGTTCTTGCTAAAAACAAAAACTGATAGAATTTTATTTAATTTATTAGCTCTGATGCTATGATCAATCAATGATTACACTTTCTTTTGAAGCTATAATTAGCTCCAATGGAGAAATATGGATTAGTAGGATAAGAAAAAGAAGAAGAAGTGGAACCCCTATGAAGCTAAACATTTGCTGTGATATAATAACCTTTCATAAACTATATGAGCTTATGTTGCACTCATAAAAATGATTAGTAAAAAAATGTTCTAAATAATGCCTGGTTCTAATCCAGAGATAAGATTCTGACAAGAGTGGTCACATGGATAAGGGCAGTCAACTTCTTTGGTAATTTCTCGCTCAAAGTACCAATCACCAACGGCTTCTGCAATAGTCTGAACAACAAAAAAAGGGCTCTTAATACTCATGAAAGCATAATCTGATAATATTCTATGAAGTCTTCAATGATCTGAGCAGTTTTATTTATGTAAGTTGCATTTCAATGAAATATGGAGAAAGGTTTCAGAAGTCTTTTTCAGCTATGGTTTCAATTTTTTATCATAAGATTTTCAGTTTCGATTGTTTGATCATTTCAGGATTTAATTTAGATTTCAGTTTTAGATATATATATATTTTTTTAATTTAATGTGATCACATAGCTTTGTCAACTGCTGAAGAGTTTTAGGCTTCGTTTGGGACGACTTTCTTGTTGCTTTTTAAAGCAGCTTTTTAGTACAAAAATTAAAATGCTAAAAGGTGCTTTAAAAAGCAGTAAGAAAGCAGTCCCAAATAAAACCTTAGTGAAGTTTCTTCTTATGAGCTTCGATTGAAATTTTTGAGTTTAGGCTGAAAATCTTAAAAATAGTCTAAATCCAATCGAAGTTACCAAAACTTAAACTGTGGTATGAGGACCTTGTTGTATACCTTATTATGTATTCTAGGAGAATTCTCAGCATACCATGAATCCTGCAATTCGCTCTGACAATGGGCAAAGCATGAGTTTATAAACATGCCTTCGTTCCTCGAACTTTCAAATGTTGTCAGTGCTGTGAGCATTTCATTCCTGAATCCTGCAAGAATGGTAGTTTGGTCTAAGAATAACAATGTTGTGATCATACGAGAGTTGCAATAATTTGGAAGCAGTTCTTATACAGAACTTTTACCATATTTTTCAAACTGAAGTCCTTAGTTGTTACAAGAAGAAGTATATAACTTGAAAATATCACAAAACCTGACTATTTGTTGTTTAATGTAGTTGTTAAAGGCCTTAGGATTTTGAAACTTGATAACTCTAGGTCTTATGATCTCGTGAAGATTATTTTTCCTGCGTTCTACTATATAAAAAGCATAATCTTCTACAACTTTAACTAGAATTGTTGCAGATTGGAATATTTATGGCGGTAGAGAAATAAGGAGCTTAACATCATAGCTTTGAACTAGGATCCATCACACATACAAATAAAGAGAGTGAGGTGTGCGAGAGTTATAAGAGGCATCAAGATTTTTACGCGAAAATCTGAGAAAAGAGGAAAAATAACGAGGCCTGACCAGGTTAAAATGATTCCACTAGTGTTTGTAGTCGATTACAAATGGTACCCTTCATCCGGGGGAAGGACTTGGCTCAGTGTATTATAAGCACATTACAATGTTGGGGTTGGAAGAATCAAATGATAAAAGAATCATTCTCAAGAGAACGTTGCCCTGTTCATTTGATTGGCGGTAGGAAGGACCATAGCCAACGGGTGACGGTGGTAGGAGGGACCGTAGCGATTTGCGACGGTGTTCAGAGGGACTGTGGTCAGTGGGCGATAGAAGTGGGATGGACTAAGTCAGATGGAGGTCGGAGGGACCGTAGTCAGTGGGTGACAGTGGTAGGAGGGACTGTAGTCGATAGGAGACGGAGGTAGAAGAAATCATAGTCTACGGCGACGGAAGTCAGAGGGACCGTAGTCTATGACGAGGGAGGTTGAAGGGACCGTAGTCGGCGGCAACAGTGGTCGAAGGGATCATAGTCAGTGGGAGACTGAGGTTGGAGGGACCGCAATCGGAGGGCGAAGATGGACGGAGGGACCATAGTTGATGGGTGAAGTGGCAGGAGGTACCGTAGTCAACGGGCGACAGAGGTCGGGGTGACCGTATTCGGCGGATGACAGTGGTCGGAGGAATCGTGGTCAGTGGACGACGGAGGTCAAAGGGACTGTAGTAGATGGACGACAGAGGTCGGAATGGTGTGTCGATGGTAGTTGGCAGAAGTCCGGATATGGTCGGCCACGGGTGGAGGTTAGGCGTCGGGTGGAAGTTCGACAGCAGTCGGCGGCCGAGCGGGGGTCGGAAGGACTGCAGTCGGGTGATGGTGGTTGGAAGAATCGTAGTCGACGGGCGATAGTGGTTGAAAGGACCATAATCAAACAACGGTGGTCAGAGAGACTGTAATTGACAAGCAACAATGGTTCGAAGAACCATAATCAACGTATGACAGCGGTCGGAGGTAGCCTTGTTAGTGGCTACCAAATGGAGGATCGACGATGATGGTCGGCTAGAAGTTTAACAACGGCGGCCTGGTAGCACTGATTTGATAGTGATTGTGCCAGGGTGGAGTTTCAGTATTCATCAAACCCCAGAGCTCTCCTCTTCCTCCTCTCCCCTTGTGAAGAATAAGGGGACAATTTATAGTTTTTTTTAAATGGCATGGCTAGTAAATAGGGAGTAGATCATGGGCATTTTGGGAGTGTTCCAATATACGACCGATATCAATTCCCACGATCATGGATCATTCATCAAGAATTGGAGTGTCTTAATGATGTTTGAATCTTGCGATCTTGGGCTCGTTGCATTCATATCATCGAGCCGCTCGATTTGACTATAAGCATATCATATTTGGATATCATTTGATCATTCAATTAATATTTTGAGCTTTCGAATAGGCTTTGGGCCCTCGATTTGGACCAACTTGGGTTCGGATTGGACCCATTTTTGTGTGTTGGTTCGTCTCTTCGAGACATTCAGTTTGACTTTAAGTTTACAGAATTCAGAGTTCATATGGCCACAAATTTAATTTTAGAAGTTTCCTATTCATATTTGTATTGAGATTCATGCCCGACTAAATAATTTTTTAATGACATGTCAAGATCAATACAGTGAAACTGATGCCATAGTGTCTACTTTATACCACTTCAACGGCAATAATCTTCTAGAATTGTAACCTGAAGAATCAGAGGAATGAAGTTCTGAATCACATCTATACTTCTAAATGATGGGAAGGATAAACAAAAGGCTGATCAAAATTTGTCTTGATACAAAAATTGGTGAAATTTATATTATAACAAAAGAATCAAATTTAATGATGAGTTTTCACTTAGTATTTAAACAAATTTTTTAAAACTGTGGCACGAGACAAAGTTTAATTCTCTCAAATAGTTAAACAGCAAATTATAAATCAATAGTTGAACAGAAAATTTTCACATTTCAATTAATCTCATTCACATCTCTGTTACACAAAAACAGGTTAAAAGAATGACAGCAAAGACAATGTCAGGACATTAGATTTGTTCACCTTGAAGAATACTGATCTGGCTAGGAGAACAAGACGCCAGATCTGACTTGCAACGGCTCCAATGTCCTGTCGGATCGGCTGATGGTGGCACAAATATATGGCCAATCTGTTTAACATAAAGAATTCAAATTATCATATTAAAAGTAGAACATCCAAATGATTGAAATAAATAGAATTTCCAATTCCTCACCTGATAAGTATCATAAGCAGAATTCAGAATGAAAAAAGGATTTCTGATGAAAGGAAGATTATATTGAGGGAAGAAGCACTGCAAGAGCAAATAAGCATTATCAGCCAATAGGATGTTTACTGCTTTTACCATTATCTACTTAAAGTAGTAAAAAGAGATCAACCTGACTGGGGAAGTAATGAGAAGCCAAGCACGCCTTGTTTAAGTTGTTCTCTACTCCCTACAACATTGACTTCTTGTTATTTAAATTTGTAACTTAAATGGAAGACAGAAACTGACCTGTAGCTTAACCACACTATTGAAAAAGGTTCTTATGGTGTCATTGCCAGTTATGTCGTTCCTGAAAATTTAAGAATAAAGATTAAGAAAGCCTTATTAATTTGAAATAATAACTTAATGAAGCAGTAAGAAGATTACACATCAAGGAAGAACCCTGCATCACTCATGCATTTTACGATGGTCGAATCTGGGAGCATCTGAGAGAGAGAATCCAATTGTACATGGTCAGCCTTTGGCCTATTTGCAAGTCACTTTTTACTTTTCATTTTCTTTCTCATGAGGTTGTTTCTCCTGATGTTTGCAATTTTATTACTCATGTTGACTGGGGCACGTTACTCAAAGAGATGCTTATAAAATTCCTGGACAGTTTGGAGAAGCATACATAATCATAAATTCTTTTTGTTTGTTTGTTTTTTTATTTTTTTTTGGGAATGATGGGCAAAAATTTATAGTGTGTGGCTTGGACTCATGGCTTTAGAGGAATAATTTTCTCCAATGAATTATTGAGCTATGAATCTTTTCACTCAATATAAATAATGGTTTCCATTTTTTATATGCTAGAAAATTTGAGACGGTGAAGTGTAGGTTTTACGTCTCTGCATTGCATAAAAAATCAGCACGCACAAATAAGAATTGTAAGGACAAAAATTTTTTACATGACAACTCCGAAAGGGAAAAACAACAAGGCCTAGCCCAGTTTAAATCCATTATATAATAGGTGATATAAGAATCATTCCTTCTTCACAGTTGAAGAAGATAAGATTATTTGTAAACAAATATATAATTTTTCCTAGGAAGATTATAGAAATTAAGTATCCACAGATGAATAGTTTAAATACCCCTTAGTCCTTGCACCCTCTTCTCCTTTCCTTCTCTTTTCTCATGAGAGGCTCCCAACTATCTTGTGTTCCCGGTTCCTCCCCCTTTCAAGTTCAAGTGCCCCTCCTTTAGGTGAATGAAGTGCTTCTTACCTAACTTCTAATTCTTCTCTCAAGAGAATCATTCACTATCTTGTATAGGCTCCCATAAAATAAGATATTTGATAGATGATTTGTATCCCTCCTTGAAGCTCCACCAACCCTTTTTTTAGTAAATGAATTGATCTTGCCTCCCTTCTCTTCTCCATTTTTTATCCGAAGAGAGGCCCTCTACTATCTTGTATAGGCGGTACCTCCCCATTTCAGGATCCAGTTCTATATTTTCCTAAATAGGTGTGAATATTCTTCTTTTAAGCTCTAGTGCCCCTCTTTTAGGATAATAAATTACTTTTTCCTCCCTTGCCTTCTCCAATTCATGTCCAAGGATAGGCCCTCCAATTAGGGGTGTCAATTCGGGTCAACGGGTCGGGTTCGGGTCCAACCTGAACTGACCCGAGCTTAAATGGGTTGACCCAAACCCGACTTGTTTTTGTAAACGAGACAGGCTTTTCCACCCAAACCCGACCCATCGGGTTATCGGGTTGACCCGAATTGACCCGCAAACCCGAATCCCTTGGGTAGAGTACTAACGCTAGTCCGCTACTCCGTGCATAAGTCTGCATCTGACACGAGTACGAGGAAGGCACCAAGGTGAACAAGGTTGAGCCGCATGTGGGAAGCATTCCATCCTGTGCGGAATGATAGTAGTGTGGCCGTGCAGGACAGCAGGAGTGCGGCCGTGCGGGATAACGATAGCGATAGCTCGCGGGATGCAACCGATTGACGGGATGTGATGGTGCGATCGATTAACACGAAACTAGGACAGCGGCAGGCCTAAGCTACTGATTGATGCGAGACCTAATGCGATTGACGTGAGACACAATTGTGATGAGATGCAACATCCGGGTCCATCGGGTTCAACCCGCAGGTTTCTGGGTCAACCCGAACCAGTTCAAATGGGTCACAAATCCAAACCCAGACCCACCCCATTTCACAAATGGGTTAACCCAAGCCCTGATATTTTTGGGTCGGGTCGGGGTCAAGTTTCGGGTCGTGTCAAAAATTGACACCCTACCTCCATCGCCTTGTATTGGCGATACCTCTGCCTTCACAAGCTATAATAGTATACTATCCTGGATAGGTAATATCACTCTTTCAAGCACCAGTGCCTCTCATTCAAAATAACAAAATGATTTTACCACCTTCTCTTCACTAATTCATCTCCTAAGAAAGATCCTCCAATATTGTGGGCTCCAAAATTTTGCGCCACGACTTCTCCGCGACCCCCTTCTTCTCTTTCGGGTTATCAAGGAGAGTTTCAATGAGTAGATTCTGAGAAAAAATTTCAGAGGCAGATTAGGTTTTAAATAAGAAATTATCTAAAGATTTTGCCCTCATTTTGCGAGGACTTTATGATCTGAGTTCAAATTTTCCTTTAGGTGTAATCCCCTATAGTTAATTACCCCTCCCGATAGCAAGAGAGAACTTTTGATTAGGGCTAGTCATCAAACAAATACATAGATGTACTTAGTATCTAGTGTATCGTAGTAGCAATATTTTGTATTTAAAATTTAAAATTTAAAATTTACCACCTCATACTTAAAGCAAATGATGGGGGGAATGATTATGAACCCGATTAGGATCCTATTGTTTTGTCGTCCCGGACCATCGTGGTCCTTAGTCTGAGGAGATACTCGTCCAAACATGACAAAAGGATCCGGTAGGCATGAGTTGCATCGTCTAAGAATATCTTGTAAACCTGGAGTTAATATTTTTCTAAGGGGACAAATTTGAATTCACCTTAGTAAATAGAGGGCTTTGTGCCCTATTAATTATATCCTATTGATTCATATCTCAAGGATTTGAAGCCATTAGGGAACATGCGGGCTCTGACTGACCAGAATTTAGTGGTGCCATTTAGCGATAAAACCACCTGGTTTAGAGCGTACTAGCCATAACCATTTACATGTGGTGTTAATTGGTGGAAACATCATCAGTTAGAAGACATGTTCCATTTCCTTACTAGCAATAGACTAATTAAGAATGAATCCTACTGATATTCTCGATCAGACATCTGCCCTTTATAAATAGAAGTACTTTTCGGATTTGTCCACCATGATAAATTATTGCGGAGGATGGATGGATTTTGCTTTAAGTGTTTGATGGTTAATTATAATTTTAAATATCTTAGGCTTTTGGTAATTTTGAGTTTTGTTTTTTCATGAGAATTTGGGAGGCATTTTTTTATTTGTGGTCCTCTTCAGTTGAGATTTTCTATCAACACAGTCATCGTCGTGGTTCTTATGGGCAATTCCATTTTTTCACTTAAACCTTATCGATTCTGTCTACTTGCTGATAGAAAATTGGGTTCATTATCGGTTTACGCCTTTACTAGTGAATTTTCTTTATTAAAGACCTTGAAAGCCTAATATGAATGTATGAAATAAATATCCTGGTCGACGCTATTATTGTATATTTGTTTGATAGATCGAGCTGTATTAACTCTATACATTCACATAGAAGGATTTGGCTCGAACTTAAATTCATTTTTTGACCCATGCAATATCCTCAGACGTCACGTATGTACAACACTCTCTAGGGCCCATGCGAGTATAGGCTTTTGCATGTATTTTGTAAAATGCATTTGAATAGTAATTGTGTGTATGTAGTGCAGCAGGTGTACATGGCACATTTGCTTGTTAACATACTCATATATGTATTGGTGCATTTATATGTATGCACATTTTGGCATGTGTATTTTACATCTAACGTGATGTGCTTGATATCCAATTTAGTGACTTAATGCACTAACATAATATATAGTATATTTACATAATATGCATATATGTTGCATTTTGCATTTCCAAGTTGTTTAGTCATGCTTGCATGATAGTTTGCATGTTTTGTAGCAGCTTAATGCAATAGCATATAATATGTATGTATAATGCATGTTGTATATTACAAAATGTACTTTGCATGCAACAATGTATATGTAGATGGTACATTCTTATGTTAGGTGAGGATGCCTATAACATGTTTACTCATCCTTAACTACACGCAATCATGATATGCTTGTATTATATACTTGTATATATGTACTGCATTTTATATGTATATGCGCAGTGCATTTTGCATATTATAGTGTGTATATGCATAATGCATCCCACATATTGCAAAGGAATACATGTCTGTTAATGTATCAACATGCATTTCGATGCATAAGGGGGTGCTTTTAAAATATTCAGATATGATCAGCCGTGTAAGTGACTATAGCTGATGAGCACACATGATTTCATTTTGGCATTTACAAATATTTTCTGTTCACTTGTATGAGTGTTGTTAATCCAGTGGCGTGGCATTGCTCTATAGGTTATTTGTTGCTTTATACAAGTAGATTGTCGGGCACCAACGAATCTCCTGGAGTTTCTCGCAGGCACTTGTATTGTTGTAATCATGCATTTGTCATGATCTTTGGACTTAGTTTATAAATGATATGTTGCATGTCTATGTTCGTATGGAATAACTCATCTTGGTGGTATATCTACCACTGCTGCTTAGAGGTAAGCTGATATATTCATTTACATATTGATGCTTATGAGTTGCAATCATCATCGATTTCCCTATGCATGATAATTAGCAAATTGCTATGTTTGCTTCATGTTTACCTTCACCGCACATAAGGATTAGCATGTTTGTCCTCATGTTGATTGGAGCCAACCGTATGGATGTCACTACATCCATTGTGCATCGTCTATTTAATCTTTGCTTGCTAGAAAGTATTGTCTTGAGCTGAATAGTATTGACTATGCACAAACTTCATTTACCTTTAATTCACTAAATGTATGATGTCATTATGCTCAATTCGCATGATATCCCTCTACTCGTAGGGGGCAGCTGTATTTGATTGCATGGCTGATGTGAGTATTACATGTCAACTGCTATCATATGCAAGCAATTTACAATATTATTCAGGGGCTTTGCACATATTTTTGCAATCATATTATACATTTCGTTCAATTTCATTGCTTCTTGAGTTCAATGTGCTTATCTGTGTCATGGCTAGTATCAACTGTGGGAGGACTACACTTAACCTGAACTTGATATGTCTTTGATGGATTAGTACATTCATCAAGAATTCCTTCTTTGTGGTGTTTGCAATTCACTTGATCCTACTTGTAAATTAGTAGGTTTAAGGTCACAAGTCGCTTTAAATTTTTGATTATTCATCATTCGTCCTCTTTTACATGATCAATAAAATAATATTATATGTATGGAAGTTGGACCTTCTAATATTTTAATAAGGATATGGAAATGCTTAGGAGATGAAGGGATTTATTGGCTTACTAAACTTTTTAATAATATTTTGAAGACTAAAAGAATTAAGTTAATGTGTCATACATTAAAACTATGGGAGAGAGTAATTGAGCATAGGTTATGACATGGTGCTAATGTTTCTCAAAATCAATTTTGATTCAAGCCAAGTTAGGTCTACTATGGAAGCTAAACATTTATTGAGAGGTTTGATGGAGAAGTATAAAGATAATAAGGAGAATCTACATATGATATTTATTGATTTAGAGAAAGTATATGATAATGTTCCAATAGAAGTTCTCTAGAAAGTTCTAGAAAAGAAAGGACTTAAGAATGCTTATAGTGAAGTCATTAAGGATATATATGTAGGAGCTAATACTAGTGTTCAAACGCAAGTTGGTTTGACCAAGTATTTTTCCTATTACAGTTGGATTACATCAGTGATCAACTTTAAGCTCATATCTTTTTTCTTTAGTTATGGATGTTCTTACTAGACATTTGTAAGAGGATGTACCTAGTATATGATTTTTGCTGATGTTATTCTTCTTGTTGATAAGGATAGAGAGGGAGTTAAAGTAAAACTTAAATTATGGAGGTTTACCTTAGAGTCTAAATATTTTTGTTCGAGTAGAAAAAAATCCTAACACATGGAGTGTAATTTTATTAATAATAGATATTGGAAGGGGATTGTGAATTTGGGTGATCAAGCCATTATAAAGAGCATACACTTTATATATCTAGGGTCTATTGTTCAATGTGATGGTGAAATAGATGGGAATATTATTACTAGAATTCAAGTTGGGTAGTTGATGCAAAGGAATGCATTGGGCTTATTCTGTGATATAAAAATACCCTTCAAACTTTAGAAAAAAATTATAAGATTGTGGTGATACCTATAATGCTTTATGGTACAAAATATTGGCCATTAAAAGAGAAGCATAAAATTAAGTTAAGTGTTGCATAGATGAGGATGCTCAGATGGATGAGTGACTTTATTTTTTTGATACAAAATGTTAAACAAGTATATATACATGAAAAGGCTGGAGTAGCCCCAATGGAGGATAAGATTAGAGAGAGTCGCCTAAGATGATTTGATCACATAAAATATTAGCCTTTCGATGACTAGGCTAGGAGAGTTGATGTATTAGATCTGACCTATGTTAAGAAAGGTATAGGTTGACCTAAAAATACTTGGTTAGAAAGTATTTGAAATGAATTTTTTTAAATTAGATTTAAATGATAATTTGACTCTTAATAGGTGATAATGGAGAAAAAGGATTCATGTTGTTGACCCCACATAGTGGAATAAAAGCTTGTTGTTGTTGAGTTTGTTTATAAAAAGTAAAGGATCTCCCTATCTTAGTGTAAATATGTCATTAATCTTTTGGAATTAACTAGAATCCAAGGTTACAAATTTGCTAACACTCCCATACATAATCACAAGAACCTCTATAAGAGGAAGACCTTAAAAATGTCTCTTGCTAAGACAAGCAAATTGGGAAGCTAAGATATTTTGTAGTGACTAGATTAGACATATCTTTTGATTTTTGGTTAGTCAAAAAACATATGTAAACTCCTATACAAAACCATTGGGAAACAGTTATGCACATCCTCATATGTATCAAAAAGGTTATTGGGAAAGATTTCTTTCATACTAAATATGGTCATCTAAATGTTGAAATGTTTTTTTTGAGGTTGGTTACATATGATGGATTTATTAATGCTACAAAATCTTTCATTGCATCTATTTTTTTTTATGGAAGGAACCACAGTCTTATGGAAAAGCAAGAAGTAATTTGTTATTGTTGGCTCAAGTGTGGAAGAAGAATATAGAGTTACGCCTTAGGCATTGTTTGGAATGACTTCTTACTGTTTCTTAAAGCGATATTTTAGTACCAAAAAAAAATTTAAATAAAAATTTTTCTACTAGAAATCTATTTTAGAAAGCAATAAGAAAGTTGTCTCAAAAAAAGCCATAGTCTATGTGAATTTATAACATATGTTGTGACAATTGCATTGTCATTTACATTGCATGTAATCTCATTTTTCAAGAAATAATAAATTGTACGAAAGTATAATGTCATTTTTCTTGTCATAGTGCTTTTCAAAAAGATTGATACATATCATGTCCCTTACTCAAAACAACTTGGATTTCCTGAGTCTTATATTCAGTTATGGCTTGTTGACATATATGTTGGGGTTGTCATAGCAGGAAAGAACAAATTTGGAATTATTATTTATAAAGAATACTTGATAAAAAGAATATATTATATCCTTCTTATTTAAATTCTTTCTCTCATTATTTATTTCCTTGTCATTCTCATGTATACTTATTTATAGAACCTTATATTCTATTAATAAAAAGTGAGAGGAGCTATAAATAATTTATTTAGTCATGCTCATCGTCAAGGAAAAAGAAAGGGAGGGTGAGAGGGTAAGACCAAAGGAAGGGAGCAAAAAGAATTCCTTAAATAGAATTAGGATCCTAAGAGATACCTTTTGTGCATTAATCAATCCCTTTGGAAGAAGATCATTTATGATTGCCTCCCATATCCGTTTCCCTCTGAAGTGAAGGACAAATGCCTACGTGCTCAAAGTTATGTGGATAAGAGGTTATTGCACAAGTAAAAGGTAACAAACGAGAAATTTTAATAATACAAATATAAAACGAAAGCTTACACCATCACTGTAATTTGAATCACCAGCGAAAGAAGCACCATCACAGTAGCGAAGCTTTACTCTATTCCAATTATAGAAATCTGTTCTTTGACAAGACAGTACATTTATTGATTTCTCTTAGTATTTCATACCTACATGCATATAAGATTATGTTGTAATTGACAACTAGAAAGATTACAACTTTATTATTTTATACTTAAATTATTACCTTGTTAGTTCCATAATAATTCCATGATTAAAATAAATTGGATGGTTAGAATAATTTAAAAAACTAGAATCACTATTTATCATTCTAATAATAATGGATTATTTTAGTAAGATGGCAATGAACCAAGTGCATTTCTTTTATTGATAACATAGATACTTGATTAGTATTATTAAATAGATAACACTTCTATTAAAATAATATTGACCAAAACAAATCCTTCATCAATTCCTTAAAAATATATATATTTCTTGGATCCAAATTTTCCCATAGGTAGCACCAGAACCTTAATAATAAAAATAACAAACAAAAAATGAAAAATAAGAAGAGAAAGAAAACCTAGAGTGAGAAGCTTCGAGATTTCAATACATTATTGAAAGTATAAGACTTGAGTACAAATGACTTTTCAATGCTCCCCCCTTATCCTATTTTATATGTTTAGGCCATCCTTGTCCTTATAAGAGAATTTCTTATAAAATGCATGAAGCATGTGGCTTGAATTCACAAAGAAAACATGCATATGAATTTGTTGGTAAAGCCAATTAACACTAGGAGAAGTCATTGTCCGATTTGGACAAATGTTAACAAGTAGCTTTAAAGCTCAAGCGAGTTGTTGTTCTATGATATGAGCAGCCTTGAATGACATAGTTTAATTGGTTGGGATTACAAATGTACACTACTTGTATTATTTGTGCAATCTAAGAAAGTTTAATTGTTGCCCTTGATAGACATAGTATAATTATTGAGTATATAAGCTATGATCACAATCAAATTCTATGTTACTTAACATCTCTATAAAATATTACTTATCTACAAACATTGATTCTATATGTGTTTCTAAAAGAAACTTAATTGTTATTATGTCTCTTTGGTTTCTTTGTAAAATATCATCAAATTTCAAAACCCTTGAAGTTTTACGGAAATTTTCCATTATTCTGTATGATTCTACAACTAACACTCACACATGCATATCGAAGTGAAAATATAAGAAAATAAGAGAGAAGAAGAAAATGGGGAAAGACCATATATACCAGGGTTATTAATGGGATCATCACTGAGGATGCCTGAAAAAACCTCTAGTCTATTCATGTATCGAGTGGACCCACGTCTTGTTCTCGATCGTTGAAGGCATGACAATACATTGTTGCACCACCCACCACCCTACACCCGAACATTGCCGAGGAACAGTTATTATAATATTGAAGCTATAATTCTATTGAACAAAAGCTATAAAACCTTCAAGAATGAATCAAATTGCAAACAGGTTAAAATGTCTTTTGATAATAAATTTCTAGTAAAACAATTTTTATTACAATACATTAATTTCATTAAGAGAAATATTATTTATATGATATGTATTAGCAAATTAAATGAAATTCACCTACCACCTAAGGCCTTGCAATGGATCACACTATTCTTTACATATAACATGATAAATGAACACACGTATTAAGCTTATTTTAGCATTATTTATTTTTAAAAGACAAAAATGGTACAAGTTGATGATCAGCTTTATCTATGAGTAGAAAAGTATACTCTTTATAAGCTTATAAAAAACTCTTGCAACTTCTGTTCAATTACCAAAATTTGGAAGGATGATAGTGTAATTGGAAAGCAATTCTGAGCCCACCGAGTGAGAAGAAATAATTATGTGCGTAGACCGGATGTAGAAAGCCGACCGTAAATCGACCAACCAGAATGCGTCACATCAGCAATACCGAGCCGCGGTATCGAGCAAGCGGTGACGTGGCGCATTCTAGTTGGTCTCCGGAATGCGTTCGACGTCCGCACAAAATAATTAATCCCTGAGTGAGAGAGAGTAAATATATTTTTCTTAAATGGAATGGTTGTTCATAAGCCGTGTCAATATTGCAAATTTTTTTTAGGAGACATTTAGGTTAATTAAGACAAATTCACACATACATCGTAAAACTCGAATAAAAAACCTCTTAGTTAATAGTCAAAGCACCCAATCAACATACCAAAATGAGCTGCGTATAATGCACAAATTTGATTCACTACATTTTTAAAAGAGAAATCGTTTTAAATGTAGTTTTGTTTGGGAAGCATTGCTGCAGTTGTTTCTAAAAGCTACGATTTGATATGATTTATCAAATATTCACTGAATGAGATGGCATACTTGTAATTACAATTATAACATTTATGCATAAAAGCCTCATTTCATTATTTTTCTGGGCCAAATTGATCGGTAAAAATATTCTCACTAAAGAAGGAAAAAGAAGATTACCTCAAACTGCAAAAGCCAATTGCTAACGCCGGTCCCCTTTCCTCTGTGGAGGTGGTAGGCCGGTGGGCTCCCATCCAGACAAACTGCATCAAGAATTTATTCTAAATTCGTAAATAATTCGCTTTTTCAATTTTCACATCTTTACAATTTCACATGCAAATATTTATTTTAATATAAATTAATGATAAGGAGATCTTAAACAATTCTAAAAAAAAAATTCTATTTTCATAGCATTCGAATGGGGAGTCCGACGGCTAAACCGCCGGCGGAGCCGTCGGTCCATAAACCGCCGGTGCAAATCACCGGTATTTGCCATTTTTCCTGTAGTGTTCTCTATCGAGGGAGGAGAGAGAGAGAGAGGGGATTTAGAACTTACCGGCTGCCATAGACGAAGCACGAGGGAGAAGAGTCATATTTACAAGCAGCCTCTGTTCCGTCTTCTTCCCTTCCGGTTGTCGCCGGAGAGATTCGACGATTCTCCAATTAGCGCTGTGTTGGACTAATATCGCCGTCCATATTGCCAACAATCTCAATTTCCTCATCCCCTACAGCCGATTTATTCGCAGATTCGGTATGAAATTTACAAACAGAGAAGGAGAGGCTGAAACCGAAAGAGAGAGAGAGAGAGAGAGAGAATGTGCGTCTGTGGGGGAAGAAGGGCAGAGAAAGTGTCAATTGGGGAAGAAAAATTTCAGTTTGTTTTCGTTTCAGTAAGGATGAAACATTGCTATCTGATCCGACAACGAAAGAAAGGAATTTAATTTGATTATTTCGCTTCTATTCGAAAATCGCGACTCCGAAAAGCAAAAATTGACTTGACTAAAATTCAAAGTCCGACTACAGAGAGAGAGAGAGAGAGAGAGAGAGAGAGAGTCGCTACTGAATGGAGGGATTTTCTGCTTTATCTCCACTGGTTTTCTTATTGTATATATATATATAACCCCGCCATTAATGGTTTTCTAAATTACCTCTAAAGCACTTTTGCTGTAATTAATTAGTGCTGAAAGAATCAATTACAAACCCCGCCATCCTGCTCCTGCTTTCGTTATGGCTGGAAGTACTTTATGTTAATCCAAGGACTGATGAGGCTACAGAACAGGGCCATGCTTATGACCTTAGTGTGAAAAGCAATGTCGGTCGTATTGATAGATTTGTAGCGAAAATGATTTGAGGTGCTCTTAGCGCTGACTTTTCTCACTCCAATCATAGGAGTCCTATGGATGCAATTTTAGGAGATCCTCCTCCTTGATATCTAAAATACCAAGGGAAGATTATCTATGTGACCTGAGAATACTTTTTGAATGACTTTGTCAATGCAATCTAAAAATGAACCAACTAAAGTGCGCATTCGACATCACTTCAAGAAAGTTTCTAGGTTTTGTGGTCAGACGCTTGTTCGTAGCAAAATTAAAGCTATCCTTGAAATTCCACTACCTAAAAGTCTTATTCAATTGAGATCTTTTTAAGATTGTTTGGCATATCTTAAGATATTTATATCCAACGTATGTAGAAGATTTCAGCCTTTCACACCCTTATGCAAGAAAGATAATTATTTCCAGTGGGACGATAATTGTTAGAAAGCTTTCATGAGTATACAAATGGATATAATGAATCGTCCAATATTGGCCGGTCCTATCCCAGGGAAGCTATTAATCTTGTATACAACAGCTTTAAGTGACTCTCTTGGCCCTTTAGTAGCTCAAGCTAATGAGGAAGAAAAAAAATGCACTTTATTACCTGAGTAGATGGTTGCTTCTAATCTATATAAACTATCTTCTGGTTAAGAAATATTATTTGACCTTGATCTTTGCTTCTTAAAAGTTAAGGAACTACATGTTATCTCACAAAGTAAACTCAATATCTAGAGTAAATCTGTTGTAGTATCCGATGACTCGTCCAACATAATAAGGAATATTAGCTTGATGGTTGATTATTATATTACATTTTGATATAACATTCACTCCCTTGCATGTTATGAAAGGATAAGTCCTAACATATTTCCTAGCCGCATACCTTATTCTTGCTAATTCTCCATCAAATGATGAATTGTCTGATAAGCAAATCATGAATTTAAAATTAAATAAAAGCTCTACTTGAAAGTTTAACTTCGATAGTGTTATGTCTTATCAAGGAGATAAAGGATCATGAGATAATTCTCTAGGGAAAGATGGAATCTATATAATATTTGTCACTCCAAAGAAAGACCTTATGTATTACTCCTACTACTTATCAAACCCCTATACAAACAATGAAGCTGAGTATGAGGCTCTAATAATTTGTTTAGAGTTGACCATCCTAACAGAAATTAAAGAAATCAAAATCTTTAGAGATTCATGGCTTATCATCAAGTAAGTTCTAGGAATCTATAAACTATTAAAATAAAATATTGTTCAATATCATACATATATGATGAAACTCCTTGAGTAAATTCCAAATGTGATTTTGTATCAGATACATATGAAGAAATTCTATGGTTGACACCCTAGAAAAGCTTCTAAGGAATGAACTTGTCTAGAACAAGATTTTATTCTAGTAAAGGTATAGGGTCATAAAGTCTTATCACCCATAAACATGGAATACATAAATAGAAAATATCCAACTGAGGTGAATATTATTCTTACTGTGAATGATGAATTAGTAGACTAGAGATAGCCCTTCATCGATTATTTATGGGAAAACAAACTCCCTTATGATAAATTTATTACGTATCAGACTAAAAGAAAATCACTTCCTTATACCTTAGTTAATGAAACTATATATAGTAAATCTTTTAAACAAATGTGGTTACATTATCTTAGTAAATCTGAAGCTAAAAAAATTGTAGAAGAAGTGTATGTTGAATTGTACTAAGCTCACTAGTCTGATAAAAAATGAAGATAAAAATTAAATATATAAGGTACTATTAGCCATCAATAATAGATTACTACATGAATATTACATATAGTTTTCATCAATTTCTAGTGCATGGTGTAGTTCATCACCAACCACCAAATGTTCTGCATCCAACAATTGCATTGTGGTCATTTGAAAGCTAGGGTATGGATATAGGCAGACCTATTGATATGTTTTCCTCAAAAGGTCATATGTTTATACTAGTAACAACATATTACTTCTCAAAATGGGCAAAAATAGTTCCATTGAGAGATGTTAAAGTTCATCATGTTTTATATTTCTCAAGGATCATATTATATATTGATTTGGTATTCCTTATTGAATCATATTTAATAATGGCCCATCGTAGTGAAGCACTAGAACAAATAAATTTGCTATATGTCATAAAGCAAATTTATTTGAGATACTTAACTATCTATTACCCTCTAAAAAATGGATTAGAAGATGCCTTTAATAAAACATTGGTACAAATTCTTAAGAAAATTCTATATGATAATAAGTGTCAATGGCATGAAAATTTAAGTGAAGCTTTGTGGGCATATCGAACCACATATCAAACTCTAACTCAGTCTATTTATTTTCTTTAATCTTTGGAGCAAATGTTATTCTCCCTTTAGAAGTACAACTCCCTTCACTAACAATTATAGTAAATTACAATATAATGTAAGAGAAAAATGCTAGACTCCGGTTAGAAGAACTAAAAGGTTCAAAAGAGAAGCTTCTGCAAGCTCAGCATAACCTCAAACTGTATAAAGTAAAGATGATTCAAGCACATGACAAAATAATTCATCTGAGAACTTTCATAGTATGAGACTTGGTCTTGGTTCTACGAAGACCGATTTTGACCCATCAGAAGATAGGAAATAATTTGAACTAACATGGGAAGGTCCATTCATGGTTGAGAAAGTCTATCAAGGGGGATTCTATCAATTAGTAGATTGTAAAAGAGATCATCCCATGTTGCTTGTCAATGGGCGGTATCTCAAAAAGTACTATGATAGATGATGCACAAAATAAATTATCTATAAATAATAGAAATTCTAAAGTTTAAATATTGTCTACGTTGTTAAAGTTTCATAATAAATTAGGTCCAAGTGATAAGATATTGGGTCTAGATATTTATGTTGAAACTAAATTTCTTAAAACCATGTGCCAACTTAAACATGCCTGGTTAAGTTATGCTTGCTTAGTAATGATTTTCCTTGCAAGCATTTTCTTGCTTATTCTTGAGAATTAATACAATTTTCCTTAAGTTATATATTTTCCTTAGAGTTCTAGTTAACCTAGCAATACGTTCTCTGGTATTTTCTTTGTCCGATTAAAACTTTGACAACTTATAAAATGCCTACTCATTCTTAAGAATTGATATAGTCTCCCATTGCTTATATCTTTTCCTTAGAATTGTGGTTGATTAAGTAATACTTTGCCTAGTATTTGATTGGTCTAACCATCTATTGCTTGATTTAATCTGCTTATATGGTATTATTTCACTTGTAAGCTCTTTGCCTAAATTAAATCTGCATGTTCAAAATCATTTCCCTTTCAAGCACTTTGCCTGATTAAATATATTTATTTGGGAACAATTCCCTTTTTAGATGTTGCATGCTAAAATCTTCTTATTTGGGATCATTTCCCTTTCAATCACTTTGCTTAATTAAATCTACATAATTAAGATCTTTTCCCTTTCAAGCTTTTTGCCTTCTTAAATTTTGCTTGTTTAGGATCTATTTCCTTTGAAACATCTACCTGCTTAAACATGTTTGTTTGACGTAATTTCTTCATTAAACATTTGCTTGGATAAATTTGATTGTTCATAAACATCCTCCCTTTCAATCATTGCTTGCCTAAATTTGGGCATGCCCAATCTTATGGATTTTTTCATTATTTTGATCAACGCCAACGCGTGAGATTTAGTTTTCAAGTTCATCAAACCAATTGGGGGTCGATTTAATGATCTCCTTTTTAGTTGAGGCCTTTGAAATCACAAACCCTAAAGTTTGATTCTTGGGTCTATATGGCCTGAGCATTATTCTTTATTTGAGGAGGAGGTCTCTGTTTATCCATTTTTTTGTATTTGTTTTAGAGCTTCTCTACTTTTGTTTCTTACTGGGTTGACGCCATTGTGGTTTGCATGGGCTATATTCTGCGAACTCAGTAGTTGCCCGATCCAGCCTTGTTGTTTGAATTATTGTCATTATTCTTTGTTGAATGTTGGCCCTTATTTTATTTGGAGGGATTTCCTTACTACTATGGAGCTCGTCTTCATTGAATTAAATCTCTCTGCTTATTTTATTATTCAGTTTAGCAGTTGTTATCCTAGGGGTATTATTAGTTCTACTTTAAATGGGATTAAGGTTATTTCCATTATAAGCTAGGTTTATTATTTGATTGTGTGTGATGCTGTTGAGTTTTAGTTGTTATGCAAATCTGGAGGTACGAAGATTGATGATATTGGTTTTTGTACCAATTTAGGCATTCCTTTGCTCAATTATTGGATTATGGATGGGAAATTCCTGAATAATTGTTGTTGGTTTCTCATATTTTTCAATAGTGGTATTTGACTATTTTTATGGATTGTTGTTGTTACAAGTGGAATTTGGATCAATTTAGACAATTGGTTATTAATTTTAATGGTCATTTTGCTACTATATTTTCCAAGCTGTTTGGTTTTTCTATGCTTTTTTGTACATTTTTTTTGTTGTAATCCTTATCTTATGTAGGTGCTTTGGATTATGTTGTTTGCTGTGAAGTTTATCATTCTTGGCAGGAAGATGATGTTGAATGTTTTATCTAAGACATTTTTTTAGGTGCTGGCTCCTGGCCACCCTATAATATTATTAAGGAATTTTTTAAATTTTAGTAGAGCAGAACTTTGTCTTGTAGGTTTTCATTTGAATTTTTTTGTAGCTCTTTGGAGCATCAGTGAGCTGAAGGT